ACAGTGAGTACAAACCAACTACACAGCGAGACCATGACTCATAAGGAGGAAAAAATTTCTGCCCCTAAAACTTCAAGGTTACAGTTTTTTGGGGTTGGTACTAGGGGTTAAACTCAATGTATCATGCATGTTAAAAGTGGGTGCTCTACCACTGAGCTGCACCCCATCCCAAGTAGTCTCTACTTTCTCCTATCATTTAGTGCGAATTTACACTCTACATTTATCTAGTGTGTCTTTCCTAGTAGACTGCAAAATCTACAGAGACAAAGATGTCATCTGATTCTGCCCTAAAAAACATACCACACAGAACTATGTTGGGAGGAACGTGTTCCTACACATATTACTGCACTTAGCAAACTGTCCTGAGGTAACGTTCACACAGTGCACAGTTTAATCAACAATGGACCACATACACAACAGGATTCCTTTAAGACTGTATCACAGAGCAGCTGTCTGTATGCAAATACACTTTATGTTATTTATAAAACAACAAAATTGCCCAAGGGCAGGATCTGGGAACACAGGCTTTCCCAAGGCAGTGAATGGCGATACCTGTTCACATGGATTCCCTACCAACCAAACGCTGTTTTGAAGGCTGTGCCTCTAGGATAGAGCAAGGAGTTCAAGAAATGTTTAATAAATTCAACTATTTTACTGAACTCTAAGCCTCTCAAGAGCATGTTCTGTTGAGATTCTGGCATTTATCACCACTACATATACTAGGCATTTATCACAATGCCATTGGTTTTGGTGAGAGCCTTGGTTTCCCTTCATCTTACAGCCACAGCAAAAACAACTTAAATGCAATTTTGTTTTCTACTTTTTTTTTTTTTTTTTTTTTGAGATGAGGGACTTGTTGGGTTGTTTGGGCTGGTCTTAAACTCCAGGTTCAAGAGAACTTTCTGCCTGAGCTTCCAGAACAGCTGTGACAATTCTGGTCCTCTATTGTAAGGCTCATCAGTACTCTTTGGTTTGTGGGCACTGTCAAATGGTAGTCAGGTGTTTTAAATAGGTGCTAAACATTCTTTACCAGAATCATGTGCAGACTAGCCAAGACTGCCCAAGCTCCCCTGCTGTATCACAGAATCCCCCTTGCTACGTGGAACATCTGCTGCAGGGTAAAATGTGGGCAAATAGTCAAGATACGACAGGAAGTGATAAATACAAAGTATTTTTAGGTTATTAATGATTGGCAGATAAACCTGCCTTGGGGAGTGATTAGAAGTAGTCATTAGAGGTGGAATCAGATTTCAAGTGTTCTTGGCAATCAGGGCTGAAATATCATGAGCCTGACCGACCAGAGACCACACAGGCCTTGGGCTGGGAGAATGTGGGTAAGAACCCCAGGTCACAGCATGTTACCTGCAGCCTTACAACAATTAAGAATGCCCTGTCTGGCTCTTGTTATTACTGTTTTGACTTTCGTGGTGCTCCTACATGCTGCCACCCATCTACATCTCCAACTCAGTCCTTCTCAATCTTCCATTCCACCAAAACATCTTACCTGGTAGAGATTACCTTTGCAGGTTGACCATAACAACCCTGTCCTCACAGCCTGGGTCCATACTTCTTGTAATGGCACAACATTCCTTCCCCTTCCCTCAAAGATTCTGAAGTCCATGTACAACAAAGCTAATAATTCTCTCGGGCAATATTCCCAAAGGGGACTGGATGGAGGCAAAGGAGTGGTGGTGGTGAGGGCAGTGAAGGCACTAATTCTCCAAAACAAAAAAGCAAAACATCTCCCTCCTCCAGATGAACAACATGGCAGACCACTGTTGTTGTGGAGACAAAAACAAAATAAGAAAACCCTATTAGGGCCAGTCTACGATCCACACAACATTCTCAGAGCAATGGCATTCCTGTTTCTGATCCCACCATCTACCTCGAAACAAAAACACAGTTAACAAAAGGGTAGCACTGTGTCCAGCATCCAGAGCTAGGAGAGGACAAAACTCCTGCGCGAGGAGCTTGACCTCAGGCGATAAGTAGGTCACAAGCCAGTTTCTGGAGCACAAAACGTTCACAGGATCACTGCAGGGCACCAGCGGTATTTTACAAAGGGAAGCCACAAGAGCACAGTGTCAAGTACTACACCACTCAAGACCACGGAGGAACAGAACACAGCAGTTAGGCAGCACCAGAGGCCACCAGAGGGAGGGACATGGTCAACGTACACAATTTTGCTCCATGTTCTTGATCTATTCAGGGGAGAGGGAAGGAGAGGCAAATACTTTGTTTTAAGAGACAATCAAATCACCAGGGAACATTCTAGAGTAAGGCAGGGATGGGTGAGGAGAAAAACCATGGCTCAACAGCAAGTGACATGCTTCTGGTTGACAGGCTTCCCTTGCTAGGGACTAAAAGATCTTGGAGGACACTAGACATTTGAAAGCAGAGAACTGACGGACAGTTGGCTTAAAAGGCTGAGTTGGATTTGAGCTGTTTTTCAGTAAGCTTGAAATGTCAGATCCAGGACAGTGTTCCTTGGGTTTGGTTGTATGGGAGGTTCAGGAGGAAGACCCCATCTTCTTTCTTTTCTTTTTTCTTTTCTGTCAGTGACTCCTCTCTTCTTGTGTCCACTGCAGTATTGGGAGGGTCAGCCTTCATTTGACCCTGAGAAAAATCCTTCATCAGCTCTTCATATTGCCGTCATAGATCCCGTCACAAATACCATTATCAGAATGGTTAGATGTGGTGTGGCGCTGATCCTCCACCATGATGGCCCCAGGCAGTGACAAATAAGGGACTTGTAGAACTCAATCACCAAATACATGTAGAAAACGGGGTACAATGAGATGCATACTTCAGAGATCCAAATTCTTTAGGTGCTCAAGCTTCTCCTCAGGAAGCACGATGGTTTCTCTGTTGATAGAAGTGGCACTTCTTGAGAACTGATGACTTTTCTTGAAGAGGTTAAACCACAGCTGAGAGTCTTCTAACTGTGATGTCATTGAAGCTGGAGCAATCTCATACCAAAAGAACAGGCAACTTCGGAAGAAGTTAAGGCCACATGGACAAGTGAAAATACCCAGGTCATATAGGAAATTTGTCCAGAGCCAGGTTACTTCTGATGAGCTAATCCCCAGTGGTTTTTACCAGAGCAGTATATGGTCAATATCCTTCACAAATGTAAGGGGGAAATCCCCTGAAGAGCTTTTGGTGTGGAGGAAGTCATTCTATTTACTGTTCCTTAGGTCAAAGGGGAAGGGTTAGCAAAAGTATCTGAGGTCAAACTGGCACAGGGGTGTGCTGCAAAACTGGGTTTTCAAAATGGTCCAAAAATGGCAACTTCAAAAATCTGGGTCATGGGAATCCTAACTTAGTCACCGAAAGCAGACCAATGCCTAGTTACCTGCTATAGACACCTTGGATAAGTATGTAGTACACTAAAGTGGTCTAAGGAAGTAGCCCAAGGGTTGTACAATAAAGATCCAGGCTGAAATATGATCCTGAGTAGGGATCCCTCATGCAGATTTTATGCTTGGCCAGGCCAACAGTGTCAGAATTATACCTTGACAGCTGGAGTCATTACTGAACACAGAGCAAGCCCAGCAGAATTGTGTTTACAGAGACATCTAAATAGGTGATAATCCTGTGAAAACTCCCAAAGATACATAGGTGTTTTGACACTCAAGGTTAAAGTCCAGCAAACAAGTGTTAAGGCCTTGCCAGCATTTTGTTTTAAAGTAGACAGAATGAAGACATAATGGTGTGACTTGAAGGAAATACTGGTCATCAGTTAGTTCAGTGTCAAGCCTTATGCCTGGAACAGTGCAACCCTGTGCTAAGGCACACAGAAGGATTGGGGACAGTCAATGAAGGCACTTCAACTGCTGACACTGGAATTACCTCATGGCTTTGCCTGGATGTATGCGCCCAGGGGATTGACAGTTTAAAAGTCACCGTCTTTCCGGATTAATCTGCCTGCCCTACCTAGTCTTGTATTCCACTGTTGTCCTACTGGTGTGTCCAGAGAATGAAGCACAGGTAGGACAGTGACCAGAACAGCATTGCTTTACTTCAGTACGTTTACTTTGTCTTCATCTGTTTGTTTTTAATAACTTATTTATGTGCATTGGTGTTTTGCTTGCATATATTTCTGTGTGAGGGTGTCAGATCTTGGGAGTCACAGACAGTTGTGAGCTGCCATGTGGGTGCTGGGAACTGAACCCAGGTCCTCTGGAAGAGCAGTCAGTGCTCTTAACCATTGTGCCACCTCTCCAGCCCTTCATTTTGTTTTTTTAAAGGTGGGCTTTTTTAAAATTTAGGCTTCTTTTGTTCAGGTTTTAAGTGGTGCCCAGAACAAATTTTACCAAATGTGAGCATCCTGTTTTCCCCTGAAACAAGTTAAGCATAACCATATAGAACATCACTGTGTTAAATAACACGCCAAGGAACCCAGTCACACATCCCAAGAGCTGTTGTTAAATGACACCAGCCTAGCAATCCCTCCTGCTGACTGTGAGCATGGCAGGAAGCCACACCCTAGCTATATTCAATCTGTTTGGAGCTTAGTTCTGCATGTTTGTTTATCTGGCAGGGAAACCATCAAAGGATTCTCTAATGCTGTTTATATGTTTGTTTGCTTGTGGGAAACTATTATTAAAAAAAGAAAAAATATTCCTTCCTGTGGTGTCTGAATAAGAATGGCCCCTCTCTTGAATAAGAATGAATATCTAGGCACATATATCTGAGTGCTTAGTCACCAAGGAGTGGTGACACATATCTGAAAAGATTCGGATTAGGACATGTGGCCTTGTTGGAGGAAGGGTGTCATGGGGGTGGGCTTTGAGGTTTCAAAAGCCCATGCCACGCCCAGAGTCCAGAGTCTCTGAGCCTATGGACCAGGATGTAGCTTCAGTGCCATGTGGGCTGCCATGCTCCCTGCCCTGATGATAATGGACTACGCCTCAAAAAATATAAGCCAGCCCCCAGTTAAATGCTTTCTTTATAAGAGTTGCCTTGGTCATAGTGTCTCTTCATAGTAACAGAAGAAAGACTAAGACACTTCCTTCAGAGATGACATTATGGAGCTGAATTTTAGGATGGGATGAAGTTAATCTTTTTAATTTAGTGCCCTGGCAATGGCTACACTGGATTCCAAAACTGCAAAGTTGAATATTTATAATCAACTAGAAATATGAGAAGCACCTGGCTAAACATCATTAGGATGATATAAAGTGCCCTTTTAATTCATAACAAACGAGAATGACATTCTATAAAGTGTGTGTACATACTTTTTTTGTTTCCAGTCTGTAAAACCATAGCTGATTCTATCCGGAGATCACAAGCATCACAGGGGGAGAATTTTTCTAGTAGAGTCAATGCCTTCATAGTTATAAATTCTATACTCATTTAAGCCACTTAGTTGAGAAAAATACATACTAGAGCTCTCTAGAAATTACACACATCACGTCTCCTCTTTCAAGTCATTGGCAATTATAACTTCGACCCCAAACCTCCTAATTCTGACCATTAGATGCAAACTCTTGGCTATCCCACTGCGTGTTTCTTGAGGCAATGAGTAACAATAGATGGGACTGTGACTGCCCTAAATCTATACCACAGTTAGATGCAGCCTGATGGAAGGAGACATTACATGGACATTTTTTAAGTTTTAAGGATTTGTGTCCTATAGGCTGGCTACTCACACATACCTGTAAGTCAACCAATGCAGTATTTACCTGCAAGTCACAATCATTCTTTTTTTTTTTTTTTTTTTTACAAGCTCTTGTGTATCCCAGGCCAGTCTTGAACTCACTATGAACTCACTACATAGCCAATGATGACCTTGAGCTCCTTTGGCCTCTACTTCTCAGATGCTGGGATTAGGCATATACCACCACACAGAGTTTATGCGGTGCTGAGGACTGAGGTGCTAGGCAAGCCTCCTACCGACTGAGCTATACTTGCAGCCTGTCACAAGTATTAAAGGGCTAGAAGGAAAAAACAATGCGCTGTGCTTCATGTACAGTGGAGACAACAGACAGCTCGGACATCCACGTGACAGCTGTGGCATAGCCTCAGTTATGGTGTTGAACTCAATTCCTCTGTATATTAGGGTTCGTTCTGTCTGAACAACTGAGCTTAGTTCACGTAGAAATGTAGTTGTATTCAAAAGTTACATTAACAGCTGGGGGGCGGGGGCGGTGCACACTTCAATCCCAGCACTTAGGAGGTAGAGGCAGGTGGATCTCTGAGTCTGAGGCCAGCCTGGTCTACATAGCTAATTCCAGGACAGCCAGGGCTACACAGAGAAAATCCTGTCTCAAAAAACAAAAAGAAAACAAAACTTACATTACTCTCTCTGTGTAGGGCACCACAGCGCACACATGTGGAGGTCAGAGGAGACTTAATGGCAGTCAGCTCTCTCCTTCCACTGTGTCGGTCCTGGGGATCCAACTCAAGCTGCTGGGTTGGTGTCAAATACCTCTTCCCTCTGAGCCATTTCACTGGCCTGGAATGTGCTCTATTGTGGGCTTTAGTTCTGTGGAAATCTGGCACTTTACCTAGGAGCAAAGGTCCAGAGTACCCCCGAGCCTTCAAGAGACAGCAGATATGAATCACAACACGTTGGTCTGCATCCCACATGAAAGTGCATACACTGCATCCCACTTGTGAGCTGCTATGGGACCACCAAGTGTGTATACAATCTCAATGGAACACCAGCAAAATTCTTCCTTTGTATCTTTAGAGTACACACCAAGGATATGACCTTTTGGTCTATACTGGAACATGTATATGGAAAATGCCCTCTATGGTCAGGAAAGCTCAGAAAAAGGAAGACTTTGGAGAAGTGGAGTGTTTTGCCCTTTTTATTTCCCCTCAAACAAGTAACCCAAACATTCGAGCACACGGAATCTGCAGCACAGGCACAGCAGCAATCTCTCAAGCAGCTCTTTCTGCAAACCTGGATTAACGTCTGGACCGGCAGCAGTTTGCAACGAAGAGTCAACCTCTGGTGCCCGCTGCAGTGCAGCAGGCAGGCACACACCAACACGCCCCTGGGGCCCTCGTCCTGCTCTGAAGGCTCCCAGTGACACGTGAGCTGGGGAAGACAGACAGAGGTTTATCCTCTTCCAATGCCTGCAGCCCATGCTGCAAGATCAACTTGCTGGTTTTGTCACCGGAAACCCAAAGCTTCCTCTGTATCTCCCGATGCATGATTTTAAAAAGTAGAAAGGCCCTTCACACAAGCTTCTTGTTTGCTTGAGCGTTTCTATTTGTTGGGGGGGAAGAAAAGAACCTTGATGTGCGAAGTTGGGCTTAACTCCCCAAAGCCCAACTCTCCCAAGGTAACTCACTGCTTCAGGGTACTTTACCTTCGTGTGGGGCTGGGTCTTGATGGAGCCGTATTCATATTTCTTCTTTCCGCTGCCTTATTAATATCTGAAAAGAATAATCAACCCATCTGTTCAATGCTACGGAATAAAAACAAGATCATCAGCACATTTTAAATGAAAGCAACAACCAAAAAACAAAACAAAACAAAAAAAAACAAACAAGGAAAGAAAAAAGAAAGAAAAGAAAAAAGAAAAAAAAGAAAGAAAAGAAAAGAAAAAACTACAATGGCAACCAGCTGGTACAAGGAAATCCATTCAGAGACATATTGAACTTGGTTTTTATTACTAAGTTAAGGGTGTACAGTGTCATGACTTATAGCAAAAGATGACCCTCTATTTTATATCTAAAACATAATTTGTGTCAGTTTAATGATGTCAATATATCAATAACCTGTCAAACCCTAAACTTAACATTGCCCTGTCCAAAGGGAGGCAAAGGTGGTTGTCAGTCCAATATTTTTGTGGGTGGGGGGTAGGGAGAGAAAAGGTAAATAATTCTATTTTATGTTATAAAGAAGCTAGAATTAATGGTCTTAAAACATCACTATTCAGTGAATCATGGCCTTTTAATGTATTTTGGATTGCTTTCCACTGGATGGAAATCTTCCAGAATAAGATGTAGGTAAGAAACTAATTTTTAAAATCAAAGAATATGATCCATTCACAGCTGTAAGCTAAGGTAAGCATGAACATTTTGTGCATGAGAGTGAGAAACCATTCCTGGTCACCTTTTCTTTAGAGAGGAAGGCATGTGCCCTGGGATGAACAGGGGAGGGCACCAGTGTTTAAGAGCTAGAGAAAGGCCAATGAACACATGCAGCTCAAGCCTGGTCTGCTAAAAACAAAATACCAGTCCTAAGAGGTGATCGAGTACTTAAGAAACACACCAATCTATGTCTCAAAATTTTCTCAGAAAGCCAATGACTGGATCAGAACCTCCAAACTCGACAAATGAAACACACCGTCTCCTACTGCAGTGCAGCTTCCCTCCTCCTGTCCCATTTAAGCAGGCAACAGATCACAGCTACTGACTGAAATGGTATTAAACACTCAGACAACAGAATGCTTTAGAAAGTAATTATGCATTAAAAAAATCCCAAGCAGATTCCAATCATGTGCAAGACCACAGCAATATGAAAAACTTAAAATAGTCTCATATAGGCCTCACTCACCCTGTAAGCTGCCAGTTTTTTAGTTCTTATTCAAGTGAGGAAGATCTGTAATTCCACTTAAATCAGAAGCCTCTACATTATGACCTGGAGGATGATTTTGACAAAACTGAAGAAAACATGAATCTATATAGCCAGAGAGACTTATTCTGCCCAAATCATTCCTTACCTTCTGAATTACGAAGACATAGACTATAATCTCTACTTAAAGTCAAGATATATTTTCTATGTAAGACTTGACTAGAAATAGCTGCCAGAGCTTTGATACTGTGGAAGGAGCTTCTGTAATTTACAATTAAGTTCACAAATATCCAAATCACACATTATATAATGACAGGCATCACAGTAAATAATTACATAAAAAAAATTGTGCATGCATGTGTGAGGGCTGGACAACTTTTGGGACCTAATTCTTTCCTTCCACTACATGGGTTCCAGAGAGCAAGCTCAGGTTCTCAGACTTGGCAAGAAGGAATCTTTAGCCACGGAGCATCTCTGTTTTCTAATTTTCTTTTTTAAATGTATAATTGTGAAGAACAAGTTCAGCTTTGCAAGGGTTTGCTGACCTGGCCTGCTCATTATACCCTTTAAGTACAGAGCAGATAGTATTTGGAGGAAATAATGCCTCTATTTACTTAGTTCTCATAATATCACTGGGTACACCTAGTGTGTGCATACAAATGGTGCTGTTTGTTTGTAGCACAAGTTGCTTTGAACTTCAGACCTTCCTGCTGCATAGCCCACAGTGCTGGGATGTTTTAGGTGGTACTATATTAACTGGTAAGTTTCTGTCAAATCTACCCTTCCCCCTGCATATGAAAGGGTATTACATTGTATCCAGTCTCTGAGTGCTCTACCATAGAGGAATTTCCAGATCAAAGTAGTTATATTGTGAAAATTTGAGGCAAAACTGGTTCAAGATAGGAAGGGGATATTTTATGTTTAAGTTGCTAAAAACAATTTTACAATTGAAAGGTTATTTAAAGAACACTTAAGATTATATATTTGCCAGGCGGTGGTGGTGCACGCCTTTAATCCCAGAGGCAGAGGCAGGCGGATCTCTGTGAGTTCCAGGATAGCCTGGTCTACAGAGTAAGTTCTAGGACAGGCTCCCAAGATACATAGAGAAACCCTGTCTCGGAAAGCGCCCCCCTGCAAAAAAAAAACCACTTAAGCCATTTTTATCATAATTGCTTTGTAGTATCTCTTCTCCTTTAGTAATACAAAGCAATGATATATATGGATGTTGTGGCTTATGTTTCTTCTACAAAAAAACAAAAACAAAAACAAAACCAAAGAGGACTCCCCGCCCCCTTCCCCTCCTTTCTTCCCTCTTTGAGACAGGCTAGTCCCAGATTCAAGACCGCCCTCCTGGGTCAGTCTTCCAAGTGCTGGGATTACAGGTGTGAGCTGCTAGCACTACTTTTGTTTTGTGGAGCTAGCTAGGCAAGTTCTCTGGCCCTGGGCTGCAGCCTCAACACCAACTCCTTTTTTACGTTAGAGGCCAACACACTTTCAGTGTGGTGTGCCAAGTGTTTGCCTTTTCACCAATCTTTCAGCTTGGTTGACAGAGACAATGAAATGGGATTTTCTAGCTAAGAGTCTCTCTCATTCAGGAGAACTGCCCATGTTAGGGTAGGTGGAGAGTTTTCAGACAGTAGTGAAGACACCATCACCAACACTGCTGTCAAGCCCCTCACAATCCCAGCACACACACAACTCCTGTCCCTGGAGGCAAAGGTTTAGGGAGCCTCTCTGAAAGGGCACATGCCATTACTGCTAAAGAAGCTTTTGTATTAATCACATCATTTTCTTCCTGACTCCTCAGAGAGCTAGACAGTCAGCATCACGGAAATAAAAATGGCATTAATCTAAAGGAGAAGAAAAAAAAGCAGCAAGAGTCAGAGCTTTTTGAACATGAAATGGGGGATTACGGTCGGATAGACGCTAGTCAATAGGAGGGTGGCAGCAATTTGAGAGTCTTTCCAAAGACAGGTAGAAGGCTCTTTTGATTAGAAAAGGGACAAGTGTGGCTTCTTTCTGTTTCTATGACACGTTATTCTGGTCAAACACCTTTATAAAACCCAAAGTCAAGTCTCTCAGTGTCTTCTCCACTTTTGCTTGGATGCTACTTGTATAGTTAAATAATTTTATCAGCAAGATGAGTGCCATTCAATATTACCATAATCACCAGGAGGTATATAATCTTGGCCCGAACATCTGTGATTTCCAGGCAGTCTTCTGAAAGCTTCAAGTTAAAAGCAATTCTTAAAAGATTTTAAGTCAAGAAAACCAACACCAACTATGGGATTTACAGAAAAAGGAAAAACTGGAAAAATAATCAAGAAAACATGTCACACCGAAGCAGCAAAGCCATTTTAAAACAGAAATAGGGCGGAGAATTCCCAAAGAGTGTGTAGTTTCCAATCTACAGGGTTTTTTTGTTTTGTTTTTTGTTTTTGTTTGTTTGTTTGTTTTTTCGAGACAGGGTTTCTCTGTGTAGTTTTGGTGGCTGTCCTGGAACTCACTCTGTAGCCCAGGCTGGCCTCGAACTCACAGAGATCCGCCTGCTCTGCCTCCCCAGTGCTGGGATTAAAGGTGTGAGCCACCACCGCCTGGCCCAAATCTATAGTTTTATTTCAAACCAATATGCCAGGCAGGGCTCAACAGCTGCTCTTGAGTGTTATAAACACATGTGTTGCACTCATAGCACCATGAACTGTTTTGCTCTACATACATACATACATAGAGAAAGAGAGAGAATGGTTTTGTTGTTTCTGCAGTACTGGACCTCATGCTTGTGAACCAAGCTCTCTACTATGGAGCCACAGACATGCCCTTCAAAACAACCTTACAACTAGATTTTTCTACTTAGCAGGCTACAGCAAGAGAAAACAATGAGCCTAAGACATAACAGCAGTGTGAACCATGAGACTTGAATGGTTCACAGCTCCATTATTACTGTTGAAAGATTCCAGAAGCCCATATAATTCCAATAACTGCCACCAAATGAAATAAAACTTCCCTCAAAGTTTAGCTGAAAACTGACTAACAATAAGGAGTGACTGAATTGTCATTATATGAAGATGACATCATTTGGAAAACTATACCCACAAAGACAGTAAATATCACCTACTGCATTTCCTAGTTGGGAGGAAAAATGACAGGGTTTCTAAAGGAAGATGGCTTTGGTAACACATGTAAATCAGGGACACTGTAATGAGTTTTACTGTCACAGGCCAGAGATTTAAAAAAATGCCATGCTTGTTGCATTTCTTCTAATCAGCACTTTAAGCTAAATTCACTCTGAATACTACACATTCCCTCATATTTATCCCCTTCATTCTGTATTTATTTTATCTTTAACTGTATCAGCATAACAGTCCTGGAAAGAGGAATTTATGAAGTGTTCACTCTGTCCCCAAGCCTGTACAGAACACCATGTGCATGATTTGATCCAATCCTTTCATACTCTTCAGCTGAAACTACACAGTGAGACCATGTCTCAAAAAAAAAGGAGATTTCCAATTTGCAGATGAGGACATCTGAGGGTCACAAAAAACCATGTGGTTTATATTAGGCCACACTATTATCTAGATGAAAATCTGGAAGGCTGGGAATTTGGGGTTCTCACATTAAGAGCTAAGCACTGTGCCAGGCTGTAATCCCAGGTCTGTGAGGTGGAGACAGCAGATCCTGAGGGCAGCCAGCCACTCTAGTTCAGTGAGAGACCCTGTCTCCAGGCACTAAGGTGGAGGGCAATAGGGGAGACCACCCTATGTCCTACTCTGACATCCCTACACATGTACATTCACACTCGTGTGTGTATTATGTACACACACTCTCACCCCCACACAAAAAAGCAAATCTGGAACTC